TACAATTGTATTAGTGAATTTAAAACTTTGTAAATATGTCAAAATAATAAATTAAAACCTGAGGAAAAAATATTTATTCTATACAATGACTCACTCAATTTCACCTCCCTGTGTTTGTTTGTTTGTTTGTTTGTTTGTTTGTTTGTTTGTTTGTGTGTGTGTGTACACCTGTCAAAGCAATTACATTCAAACTTCACACACATATATCGTATCGATACATATGGACCTGCATTTGTTTCATGATCCAATTCAAAATGGCTGAGTGATGACATTTTAGTGCTGAAAATACATGAAAAGCAAACATTTCTGCCATTTTGAAGTTCGTGCATGAACATATTTTATTCAAATTTAATTTGGCACATACATTGAACACATTTGGAACTTAATTTCCCACGATTAGTTACAAAATGGCTGACTAGTGGCCAATTTGTTTTAACGAATGCTGTTCCAGGGCTGTAACTTTTCTTGACCAATTTTGTTGAACAAGCATAAAATGGCTCCAATTTGTCTGCCATACGTCTGTTGGTCATAATAGATAAGACAAATATGTTGTGTATCTATTTGTACTACTAGCATGAACTGTAATTACTACTATGAATCCACTATTATATTAAAGTGGCAATAGCTATCAATCTGTTTTCTCCGATTATTATTTTTAATAAAATGTTTTCTGTGTCATTAGTGTCAATTTGTAATGGTCATCGCCGAAATGTGGACACTGAAAACATAGCATATATGATGTATATGGACGTTGTACATTTAATCACTTGCAAGTGAAAAATGATGTCTGTGTCCGTCCATGCCTCCAGAGGGCGCCATCTATTGAAATAATGTTTTGTCAAGTAAATCTAAAGGATTATGGTACATGATGAGATCTGAAATACCTTGCCATTTTGAGAGGTTAAGCCTCGCTCTGATGATTTTATATGTAATTTTCCATAATAGTGTGCGTAATGCATCATAACGAATTTCAAAGCAATGGTGAATCCTCGACCTTCAGTTTTCAAATCGCTTGTTTATGCTTTGTTTATAGTCACATTGCCTATGCAATTGTGTCTACTTTCGGTAAGATTTGGCCATCTTTATGTGGTTATTTTTAAACATTTTTTTTTTCTTTTTCAATGTCTTGTTCATTTATACAAAACTGACACAAATACATTGCCGAGAAATCTTAGGTGAATAAATTGGTAAATTGCAAGTTGTTCAACCTGACACTGTGCCTGTAGATATGATCTGAGGATGTCATCTACATACAAAATCTGAAGCCGAATTCCAATGTCAGACTGTTTAATGGCATAAGCAGATGTTTTTAGAGCTTAACCAAGTTATTATTATCATACATCTGTCACTGTAACGTCATAAGTTACAGTGTGCCGTGATTTTGCGGTATTTTCATCCTACCATATTAGGAAATGCGAATGATTACGCGCGTAAGTTAATAATAATAAAAATATGGCTGCTATCACCAGGGTTTGATTCTGTTCTGAACATTTTGGATTTCAGCATTCCGATGATGTATCCTTGGAAGGAAAAGACGTATAATAATAAGGTTATTATGAGGATACCGCAAAATATGCACTAAGATAGTACGCCGTCGATCGACCTGCGCTGCGCGTTGGTCGATATTCCCGCTGTATTGTCTTCGTGCATACTTTTTGGTATCCTCGTAATAACCTCATATTCTACTACAAAATACGTAACATCATTATTTGAACACCATAACATTTGGTAGTCCTCGCGCTTCTTATGCGCCTTTCCCTCTCAATAAAAGCTTATTTAGTCTGGCACCCCAATAGTCATCCCCACAATCTAAGACTTCCCTCATCTTTCTTGTTTGTGCATTGTAAAACCTGTGGTGCGTGAAATATGTTCTTCCCCCAACAGCTTCATCTTCTGCAAGGATTTTTTCAGCATGTAACTAGTCTAATCACGACATTCCTGAACTGGGTTTATACTCTATTCAAACTTTCGCTTCAGATGATTCAATTGTTGCTCCAACACGCACCTGTTGTTTAGTGTCACATTCGTATATCAAAAAGGTAGTTCAGCCTGCGAGTGACCGTTAACGGTTCCATCGTATCTCTCACAATCTTCTTAAATTGTTTATCTTCTACAGTTGCAGAATATTCAGACTCATCACCTATAGTTCTCTCACTAAATCTTAGAGTATGTATGTACCAAGATTCATTGAAAATTAATAATTATTAAGCAAATTAGCTAATTAATATGAACATATTTTATCCAACAAATTAGCAGGTCTGTGCATTGTCCTAGAGTATCTATATAGTTTTATAGAATTGTTCGTGTTATACGAAGTACGGGCTATGATTTAAGCTAATCTCATATGTTTGCATGTCAGATAGACTCAATTGCATTCACGCACAGGGGGCAAACAGTGGTTAGCACGGACTAAGGAATGCCCAAAATCTTCAGTCATTTTAACTAGGACGGTTCTAAAACAATATCAAAGCAAATTTAGAAAGTGCAGATTGCAGAATAACAGGTAGCACATAGCCTCATCGTTAGTTTATTTTTTTTTTTTACCAAGAACAATGTCCCTAGATGTGCTCTGTTGATTGTCATGTCTGTATTGTTGTGATGACACAATGCATCACATAATATAATACACACATAACCTGCTGATACTGATATACACTGGGGTGACATTTCACGTTATTTTGTTTAGAAGTGGGTAGCCATTTATCAATGGTTTGGTTTAGAAATGTGTAGCATTTATTTACTTTTTCACAGATCCTTATATTCAAAGTCAAATACTGGAAAAGGCTGAATAAAATGCATTGCCATGATGCGCTCACTGGTTGCGAAAGTTGTGAGCTGGGTGTGTGTTTTTTTCACTGAAAACACTTGTGTTTAGAAGTGGGTATATAAATAGAAAAAAAAATGGTTTAGAAGTGAGTATGGTTTTCGAGAGGTGGGCTTCACACCCTTACCCACTTAATGTGGAAGTAGCCCCCCGGGAAGTAACCGAACCACTGATTAATATCCGATGAAAATATACGTTCCATTTTTTCATATTTTTGTTTATTTATTTATGATTAATTTTTGGTTTTACTTGCCGTTAACCGTTATTATTTTTTATAACGTATCGCGAAAGCGACTGGGACTGGCGACCAATAACAAAAATTAAAACACCATACACCAGATTTTAATCAGATTACAACTGAACTACATGTAGTTTTTTTAATTATAAACCCCAATTTTCGGTTAAAAAAGAGGAAAGTATAATACTACATTGTTTGTACTGCACAAAAATAAATGTTTCCATACTACTACTTTTGAGTTACATTTTTGCATTCCTCTTTCATGTACATGTGGATTTTTTTTCACAAATATATTGTTTATGTAATTTCACTGTATATACATTTTTTTTCAATTTTCATGTGCAGATTTTTTTTTCAAATTCCACCCAAATTTTCAGAACTAAAACCATTGACTAGTACACCCACACTACTACTACATTAATCTAAGCTTGTACTTAGTACTTTTAATAAGAGTAAAGGTATGTTTTGTTAAAGTTTAACATTTACAGAAATGAACATGGTCGTCCCACTTTCTTGTAAATAACGATGGCAGTAACCACAACCCCAGATTCAGTATACAAATATGTAATTTACATTCCCATATTGTATGATCCGTTGAAACCTCTCAACTATCCTGTAATCATCGTAGGTGCTTTGGATTCTGCACAGTTATCGTGAAATTGAATTTAGGAGCTCTTTTCTAAAACACGTACAACCACATAGAGAGACTGTGATACAACTGAACACCACAATAACGTTTGAACATAGTAATTAGTGGAAGATGTTCTATGTATAATAAACAGCTGGAATACGACTTTAATTGATATTTTCGAGGGTTAGTTTGAATGCACTCTTGCAGCAGATGGTGAATTAACTACAGCGTGTGACAGACCGACGGACAATGTATACATCCGGGTCACGTATGACGCGACGGCAAGCTTAACAATGATGTCATACCAGCATATAAATAAAATGTGTTCATTCATAAATTCGTACCATGTGCACATTTATAATACATTTCATATGCAAATTACACCGAGTTGTATTGCAGACAATGTGCCGCCAGACAAGTACAGAGCTCCTCTGGAAACTGCCTTGATATTTCCTCTTTTTATCTGAAACGAGGTAAGTTAGATTATTTCCTGAAAAGTGTACTGCCGCACACCATAAATCGTTTTTGCGTGAATTTCACGTCGATGACGAGAACAGCCTCTCGCACAACTCATTCATAATATGTGCGATGCATAGTGATATTATATATCTTAGAAATATTGTCCTTAGCTTACTAGATAACCCCTTTTTTATTTTATTATTATTTAATTTTTGGATGCTTCATCATGATACCGTTGATTTTTGGCAATCAGAAAATTGAAAAAAAAAACTTGAGATTCGTTGTTCCATGAAGTATCATTACTATGCTAGTAATTTCTACTCACAATTATTCGGTGTCTGAATAACAACAATATAACATTGTTTAGTCACGATTGAATAAAACGTTTATCGCAATAATAATTTGGCAACAAACGATTTAGAAATATTTATTTGAAGAATTAAAAATAAAATTTGTTATTTCAGTTTTCAACACATCAACAATAGTAGATGACCTTTGCGGCGTGTTACATATATTAATTTACTAGTTTTATTTTATGGATTAGCATATGAATTGGCGGTAATTGCAGTTCACTTTTATATCGTCATATAAACTGTCATATATATTAATACATTAATTCGCGTATTCGTATCTGCTTCGGATGTACATTACCTTCCGTGATAAAAAAGCGTCCAAGCCGTGTACATTTATTATATCTTTGGTTGGCAGACACGTTCCCACTTTACATGACTCTCCTGAAAGAAATATTTATTGCGATTCTAAATTTACCGACAATTATTTTGGCTTTGATAAATATTCCGTCGTTATGTTGTGACAGTCTGGTGCAGGTCATTTAACAATGAATCGAGCGGCTTTCCCCATTGTCTGGAATGTGGTCTACTTTATATGCTACGTATCCCGCATCAATATGCTTTGAGGGAACAAAAGAACAAAGAGATTGGAACTGAGATGTTCATTGGCTGTAGTATTTGCAGTACCTGGTTCGACAGTAAGAGAAATAAAGAAGCTATAAATTCATTTTTTATTAATTATCATATTTCATGTCTCACATATATGGTCAGATAATTACAGCTTTTGAATACAAAAAACACGTCACAGGATAAATAGTATTCGATGTCCGTCATTTATAATATTGTCTGAAACGTGATTAATTTACGGTTGCCGGATTTTTCGACTTTCATATGCGCATGCGCTTTATTGTTCACATGGATATCCATCGCTTCAGTGCATAAACCTTAAAATAAGGTCTATGTTCAGTGTTATCTCCTTGTTCATTGTGCCAGGACTACTTTTATTTACTGACGACCAGGTCGAAATATCTTTCGAAAATGTTGAACCGAAAAAGATAAATAAAAATAATTAAATAATAAATAAATAAATAAATAAATAAATAAACAAACAAACAAACAAACAAACAAATAAATAAATAACCGACAGAAAATTATATTAAACTTAAAATCTGGTTAAAAAGAAGCCCTGACTGCGTCAATAGTTAACACATTTTAGACTTTCACTTTGTTCACCTCATTTGTTTTACCTGTAGAAATCACGGGACCTAACACATGGCGGAAGTAGAGAACAATTATTTGACATTACATGTACCGAACCTGGCGTCGCGAGTATTGGATATTTTACACGATATGAGAAAGCACGCCCTCTGTGTAGACACAGTCGTCTGCGTACAAGATGAGGAATTCACGTGCCATCGGGTGGTTCTCTCTGCGTGCAGTTCATTTTTTAAAGCCATGTTTTCCCATGAGCTCAGAGAGACTGTCGAAGCGAGAGTGACTCTGAATGACGTCAGACCCGAGATTATGAAAGATTTGATCGAATTTGCATACACTGCAAAACTCCATATTCATGAAGAAAATATCCAAGAAATGTTGACGACGTCAATATATCTCCAATTTGATGACGTCACTACTGCTTGTTGTGATTTCTTGACGCGCCACTTGACGTCATCAAACTGTCTTGAGATGTGGAAGCTGGCAGAAAATCACGCTTGTGAAAGTTTAAGAGCAAACGCTCAAATGTTTTCTCTGTGGAACTTTTGCGAGGTGAAGGAGCAAGAGGAGTTTTTGAAGTTGGATAAAGATTTTTTGATAAGATATATAAGAGACGATGAACTTCAGTGCGATGACGAAGTGGACGTATGTCAGGCCGTCATTCAATGGTCGCTTTACGAGAAATCCCGCTTTACTGAGCTGACGTCCATACTCGAACACGTCCGACTGCCGCTTGCCAATTTAAAAGCCGTGATGAGCCACTCTCCGCCGGAGTTGATGGCAGACAAACAATTTAAAGAGTTCTTGGACGAGGCCATAAACTGCCAATTTTTAATTCAGCAAGGGTACCGAGTTCAAGGTCCTCGGACGAGGATGAGGGGCATCGGTAAGAATTCTGGATATCTGGTCGCTCTTGGTGGTCAGGTGAGAGATGGGGATGGCATTATGGATGCTACGTTCAATGGAAATTCGAAACATTGCGCCGTTTCCTCGGTTGGCAATAAGAAGGGACCATGGCAGAACTTAGCTAGCATTCCCAATCACAGAAAAAGAAAATATTCTTTGGTGAATTCAGGTGAGGCTATGACAACTAATGATTTCCATTCAATATTTATGAATGTGGAAAAAATAGTGTACAGAAAACTACGTCAAAAGGATAACGTGTGCCAGTAAACTCCCATTGTATCGTTCTATATTAGAGTGTATGAATTTGTAGGGACCGGACATAAATAGGGCGTCTGGTGAAAATGTGCAAATGCGAAAATATCTCTGTAAAACTGCATTACATCCGGGCATTACATAGTGCTAGTATAAGGCTGTTTTCAGATTATTTTTAAATTCAACGGCTTAAGGGGTCCAGAATATTATGAAAGAGTTCATTGGTCAAACAAATACTAGTACACTGAAAGGCAGATGACTGTATCTTAGTAAAAAATATATTTATAAAAATATGTAAATTGTGATCATTAGCTTCATTCAAATTCCTATTGATTGGCTCATAACTGCGATTGCCCACAAAATAAAGCAATTGCCGATTGGTTGATGTTAAATTAACTCATTATTAATTAGAACCCGCGATAATGATGATGATTCATCATCAAATAACAAAAAGTTTAGAACAGCATATAAGTTGATGTAGTACAATACCCGCAAGAATATTTACTAGACTATTTGGAGATCAGTTTTAACAAGCTCTAGATGGCGTAGAATTTTGATGTAAATAAACAATAATTTGACATGAGATATGTACAACGCAACTAAAAGTACATTGTTTACACAAATAAAATGCGTAGCAAGACAACTGCAGCGCCCTCAACGACACTTGAAACTTCACATTTCATTACAAGAGAAACTCCATGTAGTGAGATCTTGACACAACTGTTATTTTTATTTATCTTTTAATCTTTAATCTATTTTAGGTACTGATATATATATTCTAGGTGGTTACGACTCTGTTAAACAACGCTCAACTGCTGAAGTATGGCGTTATAATTTCACCAATAACTACTGGACTCAGATGAGCAATCTAACAATCGCCAGGCACTCTCATGGATCGACCGAGTACAATGGTTGCATCTATGTAGCTGGAGGAAAGAATTCGCTCCTTTCTATGCGCCTGAACAGTGTTGAAAAATACAACATTGAAACGGACGAATGGGTCACCGTACCATCCATGCCCGAGGCTGTCAGTGTGCCTGCTGCAGTGGCAAGCTGTGGGCGTGTCTACGTATTAGGTGGCAGCAATGTTAACAATATGCCATGTCACAAAATTCAATGTCTTTCTCTTAACACACTGACTTGGTCTGTTGTTCGCCACATAACCATACAACGGAAACTACTATCTGCCGCTGTCCTTGGCGACACACTCTACATATTTGGCGGGAAGTCAGCAAGAGACGTCATTATTTATAATCCTAAAAGCGAGTCGTTGAGATATGAATTACATGCATGTAATGAGCAGAGATTGTACCCAGGTGTTCTAACATGGCGAGGGAAGATTTATTTGACTGGCGGGAAAGGAACGGAGAGAGTCTACAATGATGCCGATGTGTATGACACAGAAACCAATGAATGGAGTCGAATTGATGCGTTTCTTCCAAAAAATATGTATATGCATGGCTGCTTCTTAATTGAGGAACATTAGGCTGAGGAAAAAAATATCTGTTTCTCGTTTCCGTTTGCATAATTTTGAACTATGCAACGTTTTTTTCCCCTCTAAAGCATTCCAAAATGCGCTTGTACTCGCACTTGTCTCAAATTTCCCCCATTTTAGCTCAGTATTAAAAAAAAAATCGCCACGCTGCTCAATTTTAAATTTCCATAAAACCAGAAACAGAGAATTTTTTTTCCTGGCCTTAGAAGAGATAATTATATTTAACGCTTGGTATTAGGCATCAGCCATTATTTCATTATTAATTGCTTCCTGCCAAGAAGTTTGGGGAGCATTCATTTTGAATATTGTTTTTTTTACCACAAAGAGGCTTGTATGTGAAAGCATAACAAGTCTTTATACAGGCCACTTTTTTCTACATTTTGCCTTTTTATTTATTTTTTTCTCGCCTAGCTATGTCTGGCCTGAAGAGTTACCCATCTATGCATAGGAGCAGGTTGAAGAATTTTAAAATTTTTTTACAAAAAAACACCTTTTTTATCCATGTACCAAGGACAGAGGTAACAATTATCGCATTTATTTATAAATCACGCAAACATGTATTCAGAACCCTCGCTAATGGAAGGGTTTGAGTAGGGTTCATAATTATACAATAATAAAAATCAACATCAAATAATGAATCACAAAATATGAATGTACAAACAATGTTAAAAACACACTTCTTCTAAAACCAGCTAGACAAATATTAAAAATTATCGTTTAATAACAATCATTGAGTAAAATAGGAATTCGGTTTTAAAGTGAACATTTCTTCTAAAACCAGCTAGAGAAATATTAAAAATTATCATCGTTTAATAACAATCATTGAGTAAAATAGGAATTCGGTTTTAAAGTGAACATTTCTTCTAAAACCAGCTAGAGAAATATTAAAAATTATCATCGTTTAATAACAATCATTGAGTAAAATAGAAATTTGGTTTAAAAGTGAGCATTTTTTAAAGACCAGATAGACAAATATTAAAAATTATCATCGTTTAATAACAATCATTGAGTAAAATAGAAATTTGGTTTTAAAGTGAGCATTTTTTTATAACCAGATAGACAAATATTCAAAATTATCATCGTTTAATAACAATCATTGAGTCACGGTAAAATAGAAATTTGGTTTAAAAGTGAGCATTTTTTAAAGACAGACAAATATTAAAAATTATCGTTTAATAACAATCATTGAGTAAAATAGGAATTCGGTTTTAAAGTGAACATTTCTTCTAAAACCAGCTAGAGAAATATTAAAAATTATCATCGTTTAATAACAATCATTGAGTAAAATAGAAATTTGGTTTAAAAGTGAGCATTTTTGTAAGACCAGATAGACAAATATTAAAAATTATCATCGTTTAATAACAATCATTGAGTAAAATAGAAATTTGGTTTAAAAGTGAGCATTTTTTAAAGACAGATAGACAAATATTAAAAATTATCGTTTAATAACAATCATTGAGTAAAATAGGAATTCGGTTTTAAAGTGAACATTTCTTCTAAAACCAGCTAGAGAAATATTAAAAATTATCATCGTTTAATAACAATCATTGAGTAAAATAGAAATTTGGTTTAAAAGTGAGCATTTTTGTAAGACCAGATAGACAAATATTAAAAATTATCATCGTTTAATAACAATCATTGAGTAAAATAGAAATTTGGTTTAAAAGTGAGCATTTTTTTTAAGACCAGATAGACAAATATTAAAAATTATCATCATTTAATAACAATCATTGAGTAAAATAGAAATTTGGTTTAAAAGTGAGCATTTTTTAAAAACCAGATAGACAAATATTAAAAATTATCGTTTAATAACAATCATTGAGTAAAATAGAAATTCGGTTTTAAAGTGAACATTTCTTTTAAAACCAGCTAGAGAAATATTAAAAATTATCATCGTTTAATAACAATCATTGAATAAAATAGAAATTCGATTTTAAGGGAACAGAAGAACAATCAATGATATTCGCTTCAAATGCATTCCCTATTTTGCTTTGGGGTGTTATTCCATTGACCAGTATTAAATGTATGGGATGAAGTTTGAAACCTACATATGGCTCTTTTGAGAAATTATTTATCAATACATGATGAATACCTAATATACTATAAAAAAAGATAAAGTATAAAGAATCTGAAATATAATATTTAAGTCATAATAAATGTTCGTCTTGAAATTAAGATGTGTCGAAGATGCAATGTGATAGATGGAACAAGTGTGAGTGAGTGAAGTTGTGTGTGTGAAGGGGGGGGGATGCTCATCTGGAGGGTCCAATGTGATATTCACAGTTTACAAACATGAAAACAGATAATTCCCCCGGTATCATTTTAATTGATTTTGTAAAATTTTGGTCCATTTTTAAAAAATAATTCCTTTCATAGAGATTTGTGTATTTCTAACATACAAAGGATGTTTAATATTTGTGATAAAATGTGCAATTGATTTTGTAAAATTTTGGTACATTTTTAAAAAATAATTCCTTTCATGGAGATTTGTGTACTTCTAACATCTAAAGGATGTTTAATATTTGTGATAAAATGTGCAATACAAATAATTTATAAATAATTAATACTGATTTGTTTTGTATATTTAATTGTACCATTGAATAAAGGTCTGAGTCTGTGCGCAATAGGGTAACATCGAATGTGTAATTTTTTTTTTTTAAAGATATATTTTTTGTGTCATTTTCCTTTTCATTGCAGGATTTTCTCAGGTAATATGTTTATTACAAATCTACCATCCCATGAGTTTCTAATTGACATCCTGTAGCTTCTTGAAAAGTTTATTGATATATCATTTGTTGCTCAGATCAATATAGAAATACACTATATTCTGGTATTGTTCCTATTGTTTTTTACAGAAATCTCTACAGGGCGCGTAACATTATGCATGTGAGTGACGTCACCCCCCAACACAGACAGGCATTGCCTAACTGTACACTATAGTTAGTGTACATTATACCATTTCAGGATTTAAAGTTTCATTATAAAAATCGAATATGTTTTTTGTCAAAATATGGAGTATGACGCATCACCGCAAGCAAAACTAATATTGTGTGTGCTGATCTAAATATTCACTAGTTCAATGTTCGTTTACATTCCAGAGAATAATGCATTCATGATTTCAACAATGTCTTTCAAATCAGACCATTTTTCAGCTTTTCTCACCAAAATCTTTGGTGTGTTTTTTGCAGAGAGTTTATCATCATATTCAAATTCTAAATGTGTGTTAGTCAGATTGATGAATACAAAATGAAAACCATCCGATAAAATTGCAAACGGTTCCTCTCTTTTATTTTCCGCCGCTAAACACATTAGCTGTATTATGACCTGGGCCACGGCGTTGTGGTTAAAGCTCTTTTTAGATGAATTCTTTGCTTCCATTATCCCAATACAACTACCATCTTTCATGAAACGATAGTCATACTTGCATATTGGAACAAGGGTGCCTTTCAATGACTGTTCAGTTGTCATGGTGATATTGTTACACTTGCATAGCAGGTACAGCAAGGGGTTAAGAAATAAACGAGTGTCTGATTCGGTTATGGACCATTCAAGTAATTGTTTGAGCCCTATTTCATCGTCACTATCGTCACGCTTAATGAACCCCAGGGCATCGATAACTTCAGTGACACGATCCTGAATATCGATAAATTTATATTTCATGGAGGAAGACTCGATCACTTTCATCTTTGGGTTGAATCTTCTGACGTTATCTCTCCCCAAATATTTAGCCAGCATCCGTAAGTTCCACTGAGATGCTGATTTTTCAAGATCGTACTCACGCTTTACTGCTTTCGTACGAGATTTCGTCGGATTGGATTTAAATAAGCTGGCCATTTCATTTGTACTCATTTTCGGAACAGTGGTTGGTACTGGTAGTATTTTGAGAGTTTCCTTTTCCCTGAATGGTGTTCCCTGATTTCCTCCTAGGTCGTTGACCCCATGAACACTTAAGTCCGTCGATTGAGGCCGACTGATGTCATCAGGGGGTACGCACTCGCTTTTCAGTGTAGTATATTCTTTGCTGACGATTGAGACACCGTCTGACAGTTCACTTAGATGTTCATGGGAACTATAACAACTCGGAACTTCGGTATCTACGGTAGCAGTGTCGCTTCGTCTGCGTTGATTTGATTCGGTCTTCGATATCTTCGCTTTCACACCAGACACTTTCGCTTCCTGCACGGAATATAGAAACTCTCCTGCCAACGATTCCTCCAAAGGAACGTTGTCACCAATATCAATAGGTGGCCACACTTTGGATAACTCGCCTCGTCTTCCACCACGCGTCAACGGTTGTAGGAACGATGTCCAAAATTCTAAGTTGGTAATATGGTAGTTCACATATTGTGGATTAGCAACTCGAGAATGTACGTCAGATAAAATGGCATTAAATTCATCGTCTGTGACGGAAGCTGGTGATGGTTGCCACCCATCATACAATTCACCAAGTTTGTTGAACGCACCGCTCATAGCGAAGTTCGTATGTATGTACTACCTATGTACTTTGTACTTATGTACTCCTTCCTATATAAGAGCGTTGTGTCATCACAGGAAGCCTTGCCTCAGCACAGACCTCAATCTCCCAGGCAGAGTTCTATTCCACGAATATACTTTCAGTGATCTAACCGCAAGGAGCTCTGAGAAGGAAAATGCACAGACCTGTGTCATATGGCGCCAACTCGCACAGTTCGATACGCGTTACTTATCGTACTATTGCGTAAAGCGCAAAGACCTATGGGAAGGAGATTGGTACGACGCCTTACTAGCCGATTTTGGCTAAAATATCGCTCCGCCACCTTTTTACACCAGTGTTTATACACGGAACTTGATACTTCTTTTTACAATTTAAGTTGCTTTTTAATCATGTATTTTAGTGAAATATTGTTTAGTGAGTGAAAAATTAATGTCATAAATAATTCAATCGTTGGAACAGTAGAAACTAACACATAATAACGATAAATCAAATTTGTGTTTGAAGTTCGAAATTTCCA